ACAACAACAACAACAACAACAACACAGAAGTAGTCACAACAACAACAAAACATCATCAACAACAAATACACTGTTTATCTTTTCTTTTAATTTTGGAAAAATCTGTGAACGTTTAAAGTGGCCATTATACGAAAATATAGCAGTGCTCGACTTTCCTAACATCTATATAACTTTGTCAGAAAGACAATCATATAGACAGATGGAGATACAGAACGGGATGTCTGAAACAAAAATGAGCCGCGTCATGACAAAATCAACATAATAGTAAATATTTGAGCCGTGTCATAACAAAACGAGCATAATGGGTTTGCGACCAGCATCCGCGCAGTCTGATCAGGATCCATGCTGTTCGCTATCAGTTTCTCTACTTGTAATAGAGTTTGTAAGCGAACAGGATGGATCCTGATCAGACTGCTCGGATGCGCAGGCTGGTCTGGATCCATGCTGGTCGCAAACCCATTATGCTCGTTTTATTATGACACGGCTCAAATATGTACTACCTTTTCACCTTTACTGCAGTACACTGCTTAATTTGTCTATAAAGAAGCTTACAACACATTATAGGTTCATACTGTCACGCCCGGCAAACTGTCGCTCCACTTCAAAATTGTCGTTTACGGTAAAACGAGCGAACGGCATTTCCGAGATAGAGCGGAAGTCCGATTTAAACGCATAATTGTAAGTGTTGTTTATGTTTTTGTCTTGTAATTCATCCAAATTGTATTTTTCCGAAAAACGGAAAATGTAGTTCCGTGTAGGATTGTTTTAGTCTTTCAATGATCTAAGCTGTTACAAAAACAAAATTATATTTAGCCCGGGAGAACTTTTCTCCTTGACGAAGCGAACGACGATTTGTAGAGTATTAAACTTCCCAACCATTAAAAGCCCATACCCTTCGGATTTCTTTAAAAAGTGTATTTGGAAAATATCAACCCGTAATAAGAACTTGTTCTTCGTGCAACATAAATAACTTCTGAAGGATTTCTTAAATTTGTAAATCGATATTTTTCGAAAGTAGTGGAGCCAAAGGGCAAGATATGGAGCGAAATGTTCGATGTTGAGCGCAAGGAGTGGGAGGAGCGTGGTCTATGAATTTTATATATAAAAGCTTTAGAAGTTGAAATAGACATGATATGGGGCCTCCGTGGCCGAGTGGTTAAAGTCGCTGACTTGAGATCACAGGTCCCTCACCACTGTGGGTTCGATCCTCACTCGGGTCGAAATCTTTCATGTGAGGAAGCCATCCAGCTGGCTTACGGAAGGTCGGTGGTTCTACCCAGGTGCCTGCTCGTGCCTGAAATAATGCCCGGAGGGGCACCTGGGGTCATCACCAATAAAGCTGGAAAAAAATCGACGAAAAATCTCGGCGGGACGCTCTAGGATGACCCGACTTGAGTGTACGGTCGCCCATATGGGCTTTCCGGCGGCGACCTTAAATAAACGCATAAAAAAAATAGACATGATCAAGATATATATGCCTTTTAAAGACAACTAATAAAGCGTGATATCCTTTCAACGACTCTAGCGTAATGAATGTAATCGCGAAGGTGTCACCTATAGCTGCCGTATAGATTCCATTATTTATGTTCCAAATTTGGATGAGGCCCGATCATTGAATCACATGGCGTAAAACAGGGTGCCACTTATTGGAGGTCAGTCATGATTTTTGACACGGTTATGTACATTTTTAAACGTGTGTCCGTGCAAATTCGACAAAATCGAATATTTTCAGTTCTACCGCGAACAAATGTTTCCGAGCAGGTACATGTAAAACGATTGTTCCCGCCAAATGTTAAATGTTTTTCGAAAAGTTTGATATTTAAAGTGCAGAACAGAGACAAAATCATGCAATACACGGGGGACGTAAAATGGATCACTACTACCGAGTTCATTTTACTATGACTTTCTGTAATTAATAGCTCTAACGTACATGTTCAGATCAAACACAAATAAGCCACGTTTTCATGAAATAGAAATACTTTTGTAAGGTGGGGAATCTCTATGAAAATGGTTGACAAAGTGTCGGTCGTTCTAAGGATATGAAATATGATAAACAAGATTAACAAGGAAAGGCGGCGTTCAATGAACGCCACCCCCACGCGACCCAACAAAAGGAATCGGTGGCAAGGAGCCCAGGAGGCCCTCAAACAAAAACAGGACAGGGCGCAATGCGAAGCACGGACAGGTCAATCACTAATTATAAAATGAAGCATTAAAAGAAATCATAAAAGCTGACAAGGAAAACAAAGAAAAAAGATAAATGACTGCTTAACAAGCTCACAAAATAAAGGAGCATAGGGGAAGAGGATACGAGACCCGGGGAAGGGGGGTTATATTAGTGTTTCAGTTATGTTTCAAGATACTTTTTTCTTATTTAACATTGTTGTTTAGTTTACCATTTTCCTCTCAAAGTATGAATGGAAATGTATACTTTTTATAATCAAACACTGCATATTGTCAGTACAAATCTTGATTAATTAAAGAAAAAAATAAGTTAAAAGAAATATCGTAAAATTTTGTTCCTTTATTCAGAGTATCTATGAACAAAAGGAACATAATAAGAAAGGCAGTTCTCAGTCGGTGTACGGACTAAAATTATTAATAATTGAAATACCTAGTTATAGTAAAAATAAATTAATACATTTTCATATTTCTCCGGCTTCACATTTAAAGACGTTTTCGGTAGTTTTCTGTGCGTATCGTTATGCGCATCCAAGCAAGATAATCACGGATAATTACTCTTCAAATAAAGGTAAAGTTGAATAGTATTCGGATAAGTGTTTAAATTTCGGCTATAAGCAAATAATGAGTAAATAATACAGAATAGATATTTCTAAATGTTCAAAAGGAGATTGGTTCAAAAGAATAAGAATGTCGTTTAGACAACATCACATAAAGGATTTCTCCAAGCATTAGTACGACAGCATTGATGATAATTCTGCGCGCGTTACCCCACCCACTTGTGGTATAGTGACAAAAGTGCGTCGCGACTTGATTACTGGCAGACAACTGGGCAAAGAAGTTTAAAATGATATATTTTAAAAGTGTTGAATAAAAAAACAAAATGAATAAAAAAACAAAATTAATATCCAAGAAATGTTCAGAATTTCATTATTTTCTTTGTAAATTTCTGAATACTTGCTTACTGTTCGGGTATGTTAGTCGAGTGAAAAAAATAATATGGCCCTAGATATGTTTTAAAAAAATATTCAGTATCATTTACTTAATATAACATCAAAAGAAAAAGAAATTCTTATTACAACATGTTTTATATTTGACAATACATTTAGTATAAATGATATTTCATAAGAAAGCGTGGTAATTTTGACAGTTGGCATATGCGGTAACCATGGAAACTGCCCGTTTACAAAAAAGTAACACTTCAACATATATATTTTATTTCTATTTTTGAATCCACAAATGTTACTTGATATATCAATAATGTAGAAAATTCTGTAAAAGAAATTTCTTGATAGCTTTATTTTTTTACAGAAAATTTTCATGTTTATTTTCCTCATTTTTTGTTTAGTTAAAAAGCATGAAAACTCATTTTTTAAAGAAATATGTCCAAGTTATCGTTTGTTTTTATACAGAACCCTAAGATAAAGCAAGCTTTGTATAAAATTATGTTTATTGTGAGTGAAATAAGCTATTTTATACATTATTATAATACAGTTTGGCTGTTTTGACAATTTTGAGATATACGGTTACCATGGAAACTGCCATTTTTCAAAAAATCCAACACGCCAACATATATTTTTCTTTTTCTTTTTGAATTTGTCATTAAATTTTACACAATATACAAAAAAATTAGAAAATTCTATGAAAGGATTATTTTTTCATAAAACTGTATATCTCTAATTATTCTGAGAATTCATGTTCATTTTTCTCATTTTTTTGTTCGGTTGAGGAACATGGAAAACTCATTTTTTAAAGAAATATGTTCAGATTATCATTTGTTTCATACAGAATCATTAGATAAGGTTATCTTTGCATAAAACAATGCTCGTTGTGTGTTTTAAGCTATCTTATACATTTTCTATTCGTTATAACACAGTTAGGCTATTTTGACAGTTTTTAGATATACGGTTACCATGGAAACTGCCATTTTACAAGAAATCCAGCACGTCAACATATATTTTTCTTTTTATATTCAAATTTGTCATTAAATTTTACTCATCATACAAAAAATTTAGAAAATTCTATGAAAGGATTATTTTTTCATAAAACTGTAGAAAATGTCTTTAAGTACGTCTATTTTAACTTTGAAAGATTTTTTTTATAGATTCGTAGACTATGCTATTTACACCAACTTAATGTCGCCTTGCGCCCAACAACTGACCTTTCGCTCCATCTCTTGCCCTTTGGCTCCACTACTTTCGAAAAAAATCGATATACAAATTTAAGAAATCCACCAAGAGTAGTTTATTTTGCACGAAAGGATAGCTCTTGGTACGGGTTAATATTTTTGTAAAACACTTTTTAAAAAATTCTAAGTGTAGAGCGTTTTCATGGTTTGAAGTTTGATATTTAACGAATCGTCGTTCACTTCGTCAGGGGGAAAAGTTCTCCCAGGCTTGATATAATTTTCTTTTTGTAACAACTTAGATCATTGGACGCCAAAATCAATCTTACACGGAACTACATTTTCCGTTTTTCGGAAAAATACAACTTAAATGAATTACGAGGCAAAAACATAAACAACACTTACACTTATCCGTTTAAATCGGCCTTCCGCTCTATCTCGGAAATGCCGTTCGCTCGTTTTACCGTACACCACAATTTTGAAGTGGAGCGACAGTTTGCCGGGCGTGACTGTGTCTATATCTGATACTAGGATATGGTCAAAGTACGAACAATGTTACACAAAGTAAAAAATTTTTTAAACAAAACAATCACAATTTTACACAAAGTAAAAAACCCAACAACAACACAAAGTATACACGATTTTACACAAACTATAATGTTTTTAGGAAACATATTATTTCAAAGCTGTTTACCTGTAATAAAGGCATCCTCGACGGTTATATATGGCATTCGTTCGGCTGCTTCAAATATATTGCTAACAGCATTTCCGGAAATGACGTAACAATTTCCATTTGTATAATTCGGATAATTAGTCATCGGAAACCTTGAGCGCTCAACGCCCCATCTTCCAGTTCTTAGAACTTTTGGAGCTCTATTCTGGTAACCAATAACAACTCCTTGTTTTGGAATTTGCATGAAAGTTGAGCTAAGATAGTGTATTAGATTTACAACATGTAAAAATGTATCCTGATCTATTTTTACAACATATTTTGCTTTAGGGCAATATTTTGTCACCCATTTTAAACCCATCATTACTTTAAGGGTCAAATTAGAATAAGTATCTTTAAATCCACCAACAACAATGTCACCGAATCTATTTTTCTCATCTCTTATTATGGTATTTTTAACAAGTGAGTCACCGGGGTCACCTAATAAAAACACAAGTTTCACAGAAGGAATTGAAAATCGAACCAATGGCCATTGTCTTGTTTTCGCTACACTGCCCCAAGATTCCCGGATTGCCTCCCTTGTTTCAATGTCGTAATATTTTGTTAGGCACAGTATGACTAAAAAAGGAATTTCGCTAGTATCACAAATATTTTCACCTGTTTCAACAAACTTAAAATCATATGGATTTATTCTAATATTTCTTAGCTGGTAATACTGTTTAGCAAGCTTTTTCTCCGCGGCTATTTTTTCCAACATAGCTTGCTGCTTTTCGGAAACATTAACGCTTTGGTTAATCAAGGAGGCATCGTCTCTTTTAAACGAAATCTTTTTCACTTCCTGATCTATAACACTGTCGTCAACACCCGGTATATATTGTAAGTCTTTATCTAAAGACTGGTCAAATATCATTTCATCAATTGCGCCCTGAGCACCAATACCTTCTCGGAACAGTAAATTTCGATCGAACCCTCTCATTCCTATGTCTCTATAAAACGCATCAATACCGTGCATATATACCACCTTTCCTTTCCGTCCACTAAAACCAGTCATCACAGTCAACAAAATGTAAAATGCAGTTATTACAACGATTGTCCACATGAAACAAACCAGTTTTCGCGACATCTGAAAATTAATAAAAAAACAACACTAAAAAATGTAACTTTTCCTAAGTTCGTATAAAAATTATTTGTAGTGAATATAAAGATTAACAGTAATCAACCTAATCCTCCAAATGAATCTGACCTGACTGTGTTTTCAATTTTACATTCTATTTGTATATTTATTTATTTTCTTGTAAATAATCGAATTCTTATCAAGACATCGTTATTCTTACATGTAAGAAAAGTGTGCATGGTACTTGCAGACGTTCTGAGGTTAAGACAAGAAATCTGTCACACATACTACAAGTCGGAAACAATGCCATTTAAATTGTCCACGTGACTTTAAAAACATACATCTTTTCTACTTAAAGGAAAATAAAAAGGTAACTTGCAGTTTAAAGCATCCAGATAATGAAGAATCTTTGTCTAGTTTCAGGAAATACTCATTTCTCTCTTCACCACACCACCGACCATTTAGCTAAACTACAAATGAAGGGAGGTCATATCAGTTTACAAAAATCAAAAAGGAACACTATGTGAAATCTATGGATATGCTTACAATTATACATTGATATAACTCGACCATTAAGCAAGTGTTTATACTTCTTCCATTCGTGAAATTTCTTTATATGAAAATAGAGATAACGTTACATATTCACATAGCAACTATTCAAGCCTCCAGCTACCTTAAATTGATGATTGAATACGGAAAGTTTTAAATCGATATGGACAGTAAATGAAGATGTACAGGTATTTGTTAACTCAAACGGAAATGTTTATTCGAGATAATAGATTCTAATTTAACGATGAATTGCAGCAAGTTATTATTATCTGATAAATGTATTCTGATTCCATGTCATCATTAATTTGTATTGATTTTGATTTTATATGATTGCATTCTAAGTGAATCACAAGGGAATAGTAATACAGGAGTAGAGAAAGAATACAGTTGAGGTATTCGGTAAAATTAATATCGATTAATATCGGGTTATATCGTATAAACCGCGTTTTTCTGACAGTTTTCGTAAATCTTTTTTTAGTTTAAGTACATTTTTGTCATGTTAAAGGGTGTTTCCTCACTATTGCGTCATTATTTCAGAGAATTCCAATATGGCAACCTTCATTCATGGGCTAGGGTCCGTATTTCTATTACATATACTTAAATCGGTGTTTTTTATATTTACGAAACAGCTTTGAAGAGGTCATCCTATCATAAACGCTCTAATAATATACAACAAATGAATAATGCAACAACCAGGACATTTTTTAAAAATTAGTGTATAATAATTGACAAATTTGGTATATGATGTCCACAAAAAAGTGTTATCGTTCTATCCTCTTGTAATCGTCAGAATATAGTCCTTAAAAAGATTGGTTCATGTTTTTTTAAACAGAGTATATATTTCAATCTTTGTTAATGCCTGCAGAATTAACAGAAAATCTGCCGTTATATTTCAAAATTTCCCTTCAAAAATATAAAGTTATTGAAAGAAATGTGTATAAGAATTTAAGATCGTTTAGTTAAATTATATTTACATTCATGTATAAACAAACATTATTTATTCGTAAACATTTCTACATAATATACATAAGGATATGGCCAAAAGGTTTAGCAACATTAGTTTATACATATTTTTTCTAAGTTCATTTTGTAGGAAGCAACAAGTTTAAAGATACACTAACAAATACACTCCTCAAACCAATGAACCAACCAGTACTGAGCCAAGCTTGAAATATTTAATCTTTAATTTCTCTCTCCCTCCCCCCCCCAAAAAAAAAAAAACAACAACAAAAAAAACGCAAGCAATCCTTAGATTACTAGTCAGTCGACCATGCCGCCCCTGATGATTTTGCCCTCCCCTGAATCTTTTGAGCACCATTTTCATAAAGTAAATATTTATATAAAAGTAGCATGTATCCACATTCTGACTGTTCAAGAAAAATTTCAAAATGTATTTAAAAATAAAATTTTATGAAGTGAACAAAGAAAGTAATTTACGAACGGCTCTTACATTCCTCGTAAATTACCAATTAAGATGTCAACATGTGCAAAATAGCCCTTATTGTGTTAGCCACGCAGTAGAAATATGATAAAAAATATATGTACTGCAAAATCACTCACTAATCGCACATTACATGTAAATTATCATCTAAATTATGAATCTAATTACTTTTCTTAAAATCTTAGTACATTTTTCTTTCAAGTTTGATTTTCTTAAAAAAATTTTGACTTATCTGGAGGCATGCAACTTTAATGTAAATATGCATGGACTAATAACATGTATACATTTTTTATTATTAAAGAATTCACTTTACATTTAAGAAATTTTTTGAAGAATAAAGAAAAGTTGCTGTATTACCTAAGATGTATGATGTACGCTTACAATAACCATCTATCAGACCAAATGTGTAGCAGGTTATTGATACAACAACAACAAAGATGATCGAGTTCTCAGGCATTTGTAAATAATTTTCTGCTTTATGTTGTTGTTGTGTTTGGCATTGATATTAAAAAAAATCGGTTTCCTCTGTTACAGCACGACTGATGTAAATATAATTATCTTTTTTTTATTGAATAAATTGATTGTATGTGACAAAAATCTAAACAGAAGAGGGGGAAATTGGGCAGATCTGTAAATTTAAAATTTGCAGAAAGCACTCGTTTGAATTAACTTTGTATCTGGTATAAGCGTATAAGGCTTTCCGAGTTCTTAACCTGAAGGAGAATTATGGCAAAGGTAACTTTCTGTCCTATTTTGCATAATTATAACTTGCAAAATAACGCTAGTGAACATTTAAACATTACAGTTGAGTTCACACTAAACTTCCCACCCTTGTGCACTTCTAGTGCACTAGAGCTGAACTAGAAGGGAACACCGTGTGCACTTCTAGTGCACTAGACCATATGACCAGGCTGGCCAGGGAAGGTGACACCTAAATGGTTTATTGGATAATTGCATATCAAGTGACAGGGGGCATCCATTGTTAAGCTACTGTAAGAAAAAAAAACAACTTTGGGAATATATGGCCTATTCATGAATATATATTAGAAAATAAGTAAATTTTAAAATCAGCAGATTTAACATTTAGGTGATTTCATGTTAAAGCTTAAAATTATTTTTTTTTATTTATTGTAATCATATCTTTTTAACCAGTATTTGGTATTAGGACCCTAATGGGCACTATCAGGAACTAAAGAATTGACATCATAGGTCAGATGTATACCTTAAAGTACACCTGTATGCAAAATTTAAACAAAGTTTACCGTACGGAAATCAAGTTATGGCCACTTTTCTGAACTCAAGCTAGGATGTTATGAGGGCCCTTTTTTAGAAATGAGGAACCTTTAAATAATCTGCAATAACATTCTAATGAAAAATGTTTTCCCATGAATTTTTGGTAAGAAACAAATAGTACCATTCAGCTAACAATCCACATAAGCAAAATCATGGTTTTTACTTAAAATTTATGAAATCTGTATAAAAATGTTATCCTACCCCACCCATTTTTACCACATGTCTGACCATTTTTCTACTTAGGGAGCCTAATTCAAAAAATTCTTAAAATTTACCCAAATGAGTGCCTGTTTTCAAAGTTTCCCTAAATTTTTAAAAAAGTATATTGGTTGATCTTGTAAAATATGAAATACTTTTACCGTCTAGTTTTGATTATATTACACTTTGAAAATATCAGGTACCATATTTATTACTAGATTTAGCATAATTTAGCCAATAAATACCTATATAAATAAAAATTCAAAAATGAACTCTTTTTTCTTTCCATATGGGACATGAGAGATACATAAATAATGTTAAAAGAAAAAAAGAAAGAAAAAAAAAGTTGACCCTTCTGGGGATTGAACCCATGGCCCTCATTTTCAATGTTTTTTTGTTGTTTTTTTTTGTTTTGGGTTTTACGTCGCATCGACACAGTATAGGTCATATCGCGACGTTCCAGCTTTACTGGTGGAGGAAGACCTCAGGTGCCCTTCCGTGCATTATTTCAGGCACGAACGGGCACCTGAGTAGAACCACCGACGTTCCGTAAGCTAGCTGGATAGCTTCCTCACATGAAAGAATCCCAAGTCCCTGTCGGGATTCGAACCCACAATGTAGTTAACAGTAATTCTAGCCTATTTGAATACTCTTCAGCATTAGGGTGCTAATTAATACCTTATAGAATTAATAAGGTTGAATTTATATATGCTCCATAATGGATAATTAAATAAGTGTTTTTAAAGCTATTTTTAATGGCCATGTATTTCAATTTTTTCTAGTATACAAATGGGAAAATCAATGTGATAATTCTGGCCCAATTAATTTAGTTTGTAACAACATAAACTTTTTTTCATAAGCTCAAACAAATCAAGGAAAGGTTTATAATTATTTAAGCTAAAATATTATTTCTATAAAATATAACTTAGAGTCAATTTCTTATGTTCAATATTGAAAGAGAATATTAATACATTGATTTAAAAACAATCGATATACTGTGATAATTTAGTATTTAACTGGGGACTCATTTAAATGTGTAATGCTTGCATATGTTTTAAAGATATAAATGAGTAAAATATTAAAATTTTTAAGATAAATAAATTTGATAGCTTTATTCATGATTTCAATATTAAAAATTTAATGTATAAAGGGAATACTTTTATTGAAGAGGAAAATCTCAAGTCATGCTGTGTATTGGTATTTTCTGAGAGGGACTGTTTTCATTATACCCATCTCCTGCTGATAAGAGGGCCTCAGGGTAAATAACAAAGAACAGTCAATTTTGCAGATTATAAGTATGCATTGAAATTCCCTGGTTTTCTCTATACAAACTGAGTGTTATTGAAAATAAAATTGAAAATTGAAAATCTCAAAATTCATGTTTAAACATAAGCCTGGGATTCATCAGGCGTTGGAACCCAAGCCAGTTAGTCATATAGATAAATGACCATAATTTTTGTATAATCAAATATACAAAAAGTCATAATGGCATAAATGCATATTAGATATTATTGTCTCTAAAGCGGAGTTTTTTTTATATTTATTCACATTTCTTGCCATTCTGCATAATAATGTATAACTTAAGAGGCAATTCCTCATGTTCAAGATTGAAAGAGAATATTAATTCATTGATTTAAAACAATCCATACACTGTGATATTATGTTTTTCAACCATGAAATGCTTGCATACTTTTTAAAGATATGAATAATTTTTTTTTTCCATGAAATAAATAAAATTGATAACTTTATTCAAGATTTCTAAATTAAAAATTTAATGTATAAAGGGAATGCTTTTATAATAGAGAAAAGTCTCAAGTCATGCTGTGTATTGGTATTTTTCTGAGAGCGACTGTTTTCTTTACACTGGTCTCCTGGCCTCAGGGTAAAGAACAAAAATGCAGATGTATGCAATCACAGATATTATTGTCATTATTGTCTTTGACGTGGAATTTTCTAATCTTATGATATCATAAAAAACTGGTTTAAAAT